ATTATTGTGATGGGGGGCCCTGCAGTAAGTCATAGCCCCGGGGCCCAGTGCGGTCTTAATGCGGCCCTGCATGTGATCACATCCAAACCGGTCTAATACTCTACAATGGAAACCAGTATCAATATACAAGAGCTACATGGTCCAGAAAAGTTATTTTTCAACTGGCAGGACCATAAATCAAAAAATGACACACAATATCCAGATGGCCCACTGACAAGAAAAACAAACGGCAGAGTTAATGATCAATGTAAACAGGTTTTAGTTTGATAGGAAGATGTACCACACAAAGCATCCAACAAAATCTAATCAAGTTAAAAGGGAATGCCGCTCATTATAAACAGAGCTTCTGAGCAATGTTTTATTCATAACACTAGGATGCTTTTCAATTCTATCATATTTGATCAATTTTGAACAGTATTAGGTTTCTCCTGAGGAGTTAGAGATTTAAATTAATAATGAACTGGCGTCTTTCTTCAAATGATCCTCCTTCACATGCATGGTTTTAATAAATAAAGCACCTGTTTTTCTGAAGGAATTGATACACTATTTTTTTTACGGAAAGAACTGAAAAATGCATGAGCAATATTCATATTTAATGACACATTTTAAACAGTAAACTTCTTATGTTCAGCTGGAGACAAGCATGTTTGGTACAATCAAGACAGCATCTGGTTTGCGCTGACCACTCAATCCTGAAACACTTCTTGAAGGGGATCGTATCATGAGGAACCAAACTTTCCTTCATCTCTTTAGATGGCATACTGTGTAAAATTCAGAGCTCAAAAATTCTGCAAAAAAAAAAAACTTTACCGCAAAAACAAATTTGTTAATTCAAAAAACTTTTTGAAAAACCGAGCCTGGCCATGCATCAACAAATGAATGCATCAACACACGACTTCATACATTTACAAGTCAAAAACAGCAATTTGGTGTTCAGAAACATGACCTGTCAGACGTTCATTTCCAGCTGTGTCATTTTCCAGTCCTGTTCCCACTTCTATTCACATCAGCTCTCTATTACACTATCTTCCAAAAATTGGGATTAGTACGATTTTTTATTTTTTTTTGGAAAGAAGTCTCTTATGCTCACCAAGGTTAAATTAGATCAAAAATACAGTAAAAACAGTAATGCATTTATTATGCATTAATATCATTAAAATATGCTGAAGAAGAAAGCAAGAAGAAGAAGAAAAAAAACTTACACACTCCAAGTTTTTGAACTTTTCTTCAACTATGGGCACATTTTTTTCTAGAGGTGAATTATTTTAATACTTCGCCCAGACGTTCAATCTAACAATTTTGTTGAATTGTATTTAAGATGCTAGCTATGAAATTAGCATTAGCAAGACAAAGCAGTCACTCATTATATTCCAGAAATGTTTAAAAATACATTTCCACCACAAAACTCTATTTAACGCTAGTTTAGAGTAATTTGAGGTGTGGGCTAAATATTCACAACATTTAAGAAATGCCGATTGTTGTGTTATGTATTGGCACAGCCTATCCACGATTACCTTCTCAATGCAGGCAAATCAAATAAACTAGTGAGCTTCAGAAGTGTTTAACTAAAAACCTAAAAATGTCTATAGCTGAAGAAAGAACCCAAAACAACAACGTTGTGTAACCTTAAAAACAAAAATACTGTATGTCGTGAGTTTATAGATTTTGAAATGTGCGAAGTGTTTTGGCAACTTTCCTACATCATACCATCCTGTGCAGTGCGGAGCAGCGCGTTGTAAGATCGGAGCTCCCTATAGCTATTTAGACAAAAACAGCTGTTAGCTGAACGTATGTGATAATGTAGTAATCACCATCACAGCCATGAGAGCTCCAGGAGGGTCATTTGTTGGGTAGGGGACAGTAATGCCGCGCTCGCTAACATTTCCCCTCACCGTCTGAGGTGGCTGGAGCCGAGCTACAGACAGACCTGGAGAGAGACACAATTAAGAAATGCAGTGGTGTGTGCTGTGCTCGGCGTCTGCAGCATACCAATGAAGACCTGCCCACCTCTCCCTGCTCAGGTAAGTTGCCCACCCTGCCAGGATCTAATTAGACCATCTCTTCGTAAATGGGAATGAGATTACAGGACAGTACAGCATGCCGTTTGCTGCGGGTTGCTGGAGGTCACAGCTAAGTCATTACCTACCCCTAGACTGAGCCCCGGATGACACAGGGAGAATGAAAATAGAGTCATTACCCATACTGCCTTTATTCAGAGAAACACACTGCACTTACCCTTCCTGGTTATTATTCTGTTGTTGCAGCAGCACTGTTTACTGATTTTTCTTTGTGTATAAACTTCACTACGGTTGTTTTAGCTCCTGTGCTTTTGTGTGTTTGTTTGATAAAAGCCATATATTATGCTATTCTTCTTCTTATTATTTTATTATAATAAAAATACATTATACATACACTCAATATTTTCTTACTGCATTAATAAGCTATATTATTAAGAAATTATTACATAATAATAATAATAACAACAAAAACAACAACATATTTTGGATAATTTGAGTAGGCTTTCAGCTGAAAAAAAAAACACCTTTTCCTAAAGTAATGATTTACTTAATTTCTTAATTATGTAGCTTAATAAAATAATGAGTATAAATATATGCCGTATTTACTATTATTTTATATAATAATAATAATTTATATTTTTGGATAATTTGTATTCTATCAGCTGAAAGAATGCTTATTCTTAATTTAATAATTTAGTACAGTAGTAATCTCTTAATAAGGTAGCTTAATAAATAGTGAGTGCATATAAAATGCATACTATTTTAATAATAATAATAATAATAATTTGAATAGGCTTTCAGCTGAAAGAATATGGTTTCGAAATGTAATAATTTAGCAAAGTAATGATTTCTTAATACCTTAAAATAATTAGAATATATAATTTATTTACTATTATGTTCTTATAAAATTATAACATTGATAATAAAAAATATCAGTGGTGTTCTGAAATGAGGCAAAGTCCACACACTTTTTTTTTTAAATAAATGTAAATTAATGTCCCAGTCACATTTTCTTGGTTAAATAAACATTACTTACACTACCAAAATGAAAATCTATTTTGTATTTTTACATCAACATTTTTATTCTATTTAAAACCAAGTATATGCCTAAATCTAATCAGTTTAGTGTTTTTAAGCATTTACATTTATTCCAAAATAACAACTCAAGGCAGTAACAATTTAAACAATATCCTATTATTTTATTTAAACAACTATAGATTTTATTTATGAACTGAAGTTCAGCTGTTCTTTTTAATGATATACATATTTTTGGAACATAAGTCATCAGAGCTCGGTAAACACTGGTCACAGATGCGGAGATTTCAACAAGCTGATTGCTCACTAATAAAACCACGCACACAGATCATGTTTTCAGCCCATCTGAAGTTTGATTTTAACATGACAAAGTAGTGATATATAAGTGTGTGTATTGCTTACTGTTTAATTAGACTTCTCATTAATGCCATCATTTTGTTCATTCAGACACACAGCGATTGTCATGCCTGTCGCCCAAATCCACTATAATTTAAAACCTAATACTGTTTTTGTGTCATGGGATGTAGTTTTAAGAGATTTTTATGCAAGAATGTACTTTTTTAGACTTCAAATATGCGGTTTGTTAATAAAGATAACGTCTATTTGAAAATGTGCTTCAATGCTTTCGGAGATATGAGCTCCAGGGCGTCAGCGGCTGTTCAGCGCTCATGAACCCACCGAGAGCAGCCTCACCTCGGCCAGATCCTCTGGATTTTGTCGCTGGCTCTGATGTCTCTATAGTGGTTAAACATGAGATATAATTTGTTTTGGGTCAATCTCATGAGTAGTCTTTGGTCTCATTAATCTATTATTTGTTCCAGAGCAAATAGTTTTGGCTGAGGGTGCAATAAATGCACTGAGCAATTAGTTTTGGGTAAATCTAACAGGCAGTCTTTGGTCTCAATCTACTATTTCTTTCAGAGCAAATAGTTTAGGCTGAAAGCAAAATCTCATCACGTTATCTTTTATATAACTAAAGCAGTATCAGAGCGCTGCCTGTACTTTTGACTGAATTGCCTAGCCACTTTTATGATGGTTATTGTTTGTTAAATATTTTTAATTCAATAAATATTTTTTATAAATAATAGTAATATTTAATTATATTTAGTATTGAGAAACGGTGTGTGTGTGTGTGTGTGTGTGTGTGTGAGTGATGGTGATTTTAGTTACATTGTCCCACCATTAGATGGTGACAAGATACTGTTTTTATGAATGAGTCAGCATAAAGACTTTTATATTGAAAGAGACTGAAACAGGGCTGTAAACAAGGAAGTTATTTTTACTTTCAACAACACATTGTAAGATGCACTGAGCAGCGCTGTCATTAGAAATCACCCTTAACAGATGAAAGGACAGTACGACAAAGATATCGCTTTCCTCAGCAGACATACAAACTCTTGTTTTATTGTGAATATGAGATTGAGCTAAAGAATGAATGTTGTATCAGATGCAGGTAATCACACTCCTCAGTCCAGCTCTCTCTCATAATACTCTACAATGAGCTTTTACTACAGTAATACAATAAGCTTTTCATGAAACAACTCGTTACTACTTTTAATGAAGCAACTCATTCCTTCGTTACTAGTTGTAAAATGACGGTTTCGAATTAGTAACGGAGGCTTGGGCTCAGCTGTGAAACTGTCAAACCGTGGCGGAAGGAAGTAGTTCTGCAAAAGGAGGGTTTTCTAAGGAGGGACACTCTGTTGTTATTTCTTATATATTTACACACTCGTGCTGTCAAGCTGTTGTATAAGCGCAATACCGCACTCGTAGCAGTGTGATATGGCTATATATCGGCACGCTGTGATTAGCCGAGCTGATATACAGGCATATCGCACTGCTACTCATGCGATATTGCTCATAAATATATATACAACATACAACAACATTAATTCATCTGAAAGAATGTTTCTTATTGTAATAATTTCTTAATATTTTGTAGCTAAATACAATAATGTGTATATACTGTAATACAATGTACACACCCACACACAGATTTAATTGATTCTGCTTGCAGCTATAGGATACTCATGGTTGTGATATATTAGTAATACAGTCTTGGCTGAAAGGATTGCAGGCCGATGCTGCATGTTGCACTTAACAACACCCTTTAGCCATGATTATATTCATAGCATGGCTATATTCATAAAACAAACAAACATTTATGGAAATACAATAATATTGTTGATTATCAAACTTCTGTCTGACAGACCGAAGATGAAACTGCAAATTTACTCTGCAATGGCACCATTCCCTTTGAGCTAAAAGTGTCAGTATCTAATTGCAGGCTTCTGTCGGCTCCTGAATTTGAACACGGACTGACATGAGTTAGCATTTGTAGCTTCGGTCCAAACCAAAGGTTGTGTGGATCCAATTGAGCTGAGATGACGGAACTCATTATACAAAACATTCTGGGGAGAATTTGGATGAAATCTGGCTCAAAGGCTGGCTTTTGTAAAACAAATTTCTTCACCGAAACCCCAATGTCAGCTTAAATTGGATAAGATGGGAAGATGGGGGGGGGTGCTTTGAATATATATATATATATATATATATATATATATGAAACTAAGTGATACAGTAACTTTGTATACACGCACATACATGTATCACTTTGGAACTAATAACCATAAAAACATACATGATTACTGATTTTCACAATCTAAGATAATAAATACATATTATTAAAGGTAAACTTTATATGCAGTGCTATCTTACAATATCCAGTGTTTACTTTCGAGTTTCAGTGGAAGACCAGTTATACAGCAGAGTATTTTTGTCAGCAAGCTATTGGCCTCTAGTTTAAAGTAAGAGTGATTCGTAAACCAACCCACTGCATAGACCAAAGCATGAGCTCATCACGTCACTAGGATTATGCAACAGTCAATTACTCTTCAAGTGCAGTTTTATGCGGGAAATAGATATTCAAATAGTTTATATCAGGGAGCACAGGTGGGACTAGTACATGTTCTGCAGGTGTGCATGTCTTATTTTGTTTCTTGGACTAAATACTAAATGTTTTGGTTTAACAGAAAAGACAAACAAAAGGCCTAATATAAGTAGCCATTACTGATGTCAATGCCGTTACACTGTCCACCCTCGATTGTCAGAGTCTCCAGTGCATCCTGTTTCAAGTAATGAGGAACGAGATGGGACTTCCTGTCATTACGCCGCCTCCCGTTCCTACAGATATCTGCATCTTCTTCATCCTCTTCCTCACTGGATGTGTTACCGTTCACCTCTGTGTCCAGTTCGTTGGCACCAAATGGGTCACTGCAGGATGAATATTCAATCTCCTCCATGCAGGGTGGTTCATCGTCCTCGAAACAACTGTGGAAACAAACACAATGCTGTTATCATTAAGCAAATTAAAACAAACAATTAAAATCATTTTGTTAATTTTAAGCTGTTATTAATATATGTAAATATTACAGCTTAAATAAAATTAAATATAAATCAAAATTTTAGACATTTTTAAAAAACAATCTTATTAAAAACACAAAAGTACATACAATGACTAAAAATTCAACAAAGTGACAACTAAAAATATAAAAATGAAAACCTAAATTAAAAAAATGACTACAAATGACAAAAGCACATGAAATTACTAAAAACAAAATAAAAATTAATTCAAAATCTTAAAACAATACTAATAAAAAACAATACTAAAATACTGCAGCAATGCAGTTGAAAAAACAAATCAGTTAAGTGCTCTGTCATCACTTCATCACCGTGGAGCGAAATTAATTTGAACGGAAATGCATTGCTCTGTCTCCACTGCTGGATCCGCTGAAGGACACTGCGACCTTGAGTTTGGTGAGCATTTTGATTGACAGTAAACATAAAGCCCAGTCACACTAATCAGATCAAAACCACTGGGATCCATGGAGAACGTGGATGTGACGAGCAATCCGATTCGCCCCTCCTCACCACTGGTGTGTGTGTGTGTGTGTGTGCGTGCGCGCACATGTGAGTCCGTTTATCATTTTCTCTGCCCTGGGTAAAAAATTAAAGGGAAAAAAATAACATCTGGTGTGCCACAATGTGAAGAACAACATTGTATTTTTCCCTCTTCATTATATGGGAAAGATGAGATGACGCTCTGGTTGAAAGACAGAGCGTGTGGGAGCGGTCTCATGAGACGCAGGACAAACAAACCACGTCCTCTTGACTCACAAAATGAACCAATTTGTTATGCGGTTGTCAGTGCTGCAACAGGTGTGAGTTACTCGTCTATTCTTCTGGCTGTTACTGGGTGTCCAAATTCAGTGCGGGACACATAACAAGCAGGGATATTAGTGTCTGTTTTGTGGTCGGAGCACCTGTCATTTGTAAGGGGAGATGATTTGCATATATAGACCATGTGACTGAGGTTAATGCAGCCTTTTGAGTATTTGAACAAGTCTTTTAAAAGGATGTTAAACATATTTATAGAGTAATCAAATGTTTTGAAAAACAAAACACAAAGGTACACACACACACACACACACAAAATAAAATAAAAAAAATAAAAAGGATCAGAACAAATAAATAAAAATAAAAATAAATAAACAAAGAAAATAGAACAAATAATTACACTGAACTGAAATAAAAAAACTGAAATAAAATATAAAAAATTAAAAATAAAATAAAATATCTGTTCAAGTATTCTTGCCAGGCAAAGCTAATCAAAATTATTAGTTTATGTAAATATAAAGTTTACAACAGCGTTTTAGTGCCATGTAAATAATAATAAAAAAATATATAATAATAACAACAAGATTTCAAGAATAAAGTTGAAATATTTTGAGAATAAAGTAAAAATTACGAGAATTAAAGTTATAATATTATAGAGTATATATATATATATATATATATATATATATATATATAGAGAGAGAGAGAGAGAGAGAGAGATTATAGCCTATATTGCACATGCAAATGGCCCGGATTTGGAGCACCAGGAGAAATTCCGGTGGCCTGGCAACTGATTTGAATACATGTGGCATTATTAGCAGAAATCATACCATGTGTCATATACTCGCAGGGACAGTATGCTTGGAAAAAATATTTCACGTCTTCGAATGCATTCATTATTTGTAGTGCGCCAGTCACCCAATAATAGCAGTAAGCTTTGCGCTTTTGGTACTTTTAATATAAACAAAGTCTCAGCTTTCAAATTCTGTCAGTTTTATAGCGAAATATAAACAATATGTCTAACAATATTGTGTTTTTCATGCTCTTTAATATGGCGTGAGAGATCGCTGTATTCGCCTCAGTTTAATCAGCATGTGAATCATCTCTTCGATTACAATGAGACGTTTCATTCAATTACACAGTTTTTTTTCATGCCATCTGATGTTCCTTCACGTTTGAAAACTTGAAATATTATTTCCAATCGTTTATTATACCGTGAATAAAAGAGCTTGTGAATAATTACTTAAAGTTATTTACCTCAGAAAAGACAACAATATAACTTAAGTTAACGAGTTGGAGCCCACTTAAACCTTTAGAACATTTTATTGCTGTTTCTAATTAAATACATGTGAATAATGAAAGGCTGGATGCCACAGATGTTTTTTTGCGGAGTACATGGTGGAATGTTCACATTAGTTAACGTTATTCATGAAATATACTTCATGAAATATTAAATGACTTTAATCTCGTATTGCTACAACTTTGTTTTTTTTACTTTATTCTCATACTACGACTTTAAAGGTGCACTAAGCGATTTTTGTCCACTGTGTCAGACCGAGTCCCAAAACAAACCCACAGCCAATCAGCAGTAAGGGGCGTGTCTAGTAATGATAGGGAGAAGAGAGCGCTCAGTGAGTGCACAGGACGGATATTAGCAGATCGACTAGAGATAGCGAGAGATGGCAGATAAAAAAAAGAAGAAAATTTCGGCGGAACAAAACATTACAATGAAGGGTTACGATCAGGCAAGAGGTAGGACCGCGTAAATATTGGAGCAGTTTTCCAGCGGTGAGGAAAAACCAAGGAGCGGAAGGGAATCGGACGCCGAGGTTGCTTTGTTTCTTCTTGATAGGTGAGTTACGTTGATTTTGCTTTTTCACAAAACTTTTCTGTGTTGACTTTTGCTTGAATGTGCTGCGGCTGGCAGGCTTAGCAGATTCCGCCATCGTCGCTGCCAGGGTTGTGTATGTATGTGTGGGGCGGAGTTATCAAAATAGGGGTGAAGTCCTGTTGGGGTATGGGCGTGTTTGTTTTGGTGCTTTGAAATATCAACATCGTTTGGCAAAAATCGCTTAGTGCACCTTTAATCTTATAATGCTATGCCTTTATTCTCAAAATATTATGACTTTATTCTCAAAATATTATGACTTTAATCTCATATTGCTATGACTTTATTCTCAAAATATTACCACTTTAATATCATATGGCTATGACTTTATTCTTGTAATTTAGATTTTATTATAAAAATATTATGACGTTAATCTCATAATATTAATTTTTTTTTTTTTTTTTTTTTTACGTGGCACTAAAACGCCATCATATATAAAAAGAAAAGAAAAAAAGGAACAGGACAGAACAGGAGTGGGAAAACATCTCTCATCAAAATATCTCTCTTATGGCCACATTTGATGTTACTTTACTTGTATAAAAGAATAAAAGACACCATAAAAATCATTGACCTCTCTTTTAACTTTATAATGATGTTTTTGTGAATAATAATTTGTTTTATTTCAAATTTATACTGCAGCAGTGAAACACAGATGTGTGCATTGAGCCTGACATTCACTATATACTTGGCAGAAAAACACAAAATCGGAGCCAAACTTTAAACATGTTTGGACAAAATTATAAAAAAAGGCAAAATAAATGAATAAAATAAAATGTATTAAAAAATTATAGCCGATTTCAATCTAAAAATTATTACAGTCTTCTTATTATTAGCAATTATTTGATGTTAAAAATATTTGGAAGCAATTTTCCATTAAGACATGTCATGTGAGCTCTGGAGACTCACACACTATGACAGTGCAGAAAGGACAGAATCATTAGCGACTTCCATAGAGCTACTGCATAGACACGTCAATAATGCTTTAATGTCAGAACAGAATGAACCTGTAATGATCAGTTTTGAGGAAACCGGGCACCTTCATCTGTTTAAGCAACACCACCATGACCTACAGTACTGTTTGTAGCTGCTCAACAATGATGCAGGTTTCTGACTTGATGAGCTTGATTCTCTGAAAGCAAAGACTTTGTGTACTTATGCAGGGCTGCTTTCAATTACTTTAAGTGGCCGCTGAGAGCGAGAGCTGTTCATTTCTGTGCCGCTTGGCCATGGGGAGTCCATGCATCTTTGTGCCAGTCAGTAGGTTGGCTTTTCAGCACTCAGTCATAAAAACACAACATCGCACATCTCGAAAGATCATAAGACAACAGGCGAGGCAGAATGTGAGATAGATATAGAAGAGACTGAGGCTAGTTGTCACACTCCATGTTTATTAGGTGAATTCAATTTCTGTATAAATATACCTTTAAGGGATAGTTCACCAAAAAATGAAAATTCTGATTTAATTTACTCATTTACATCATTTACACACCCACAGATATTTTGAAGAATGTTGGTAACTAACTAAACATTTGAAGGTAGCCATTGACTTCCATAGTATTTTTCCATGCTATAGAAGGTAATGGCTACCGTCAATTGATTGACAACTTAAGGGTGAGTAAATGGTGACAATTTTCATTTCTGGGTGATCTATCCCTTTAATGTCCATTAGAAAATGGACCGTTATTCCCTTGGAATGGAAAAAAAATGCAGTTAATTTAACACCAGTGTTCTTTTAGAATTATATACATTCAATTAGTATTTAGAATTATTTTATATTAGGTTTTTTTTTTTTTTTTTCATTTTAATTTTAACATGTGACAACTCCTCTAGAGAAAGAGCAAAACGGAAAGAGAAAGAATGAAATCTATAATTCAATTCCCTAAAGTAAATGGTGTCTTAGGGGAAGCTGAGTGTCCTGTGTGGCTAATTTGCTGCAGGTTTCTAGAACACAATCACCTGCCATTTCAATTACTCCAAGATCACTTGTAATTCACTGTATGGATAGAAGACAATCAATGACTATCAGGAGGATTATGCTGCTGTGGCTGGAGACTGAACACAGGCACTCTGGGGGATAGATAAACAGACAGTCGCAGGGTTTGCGGTTGACCACTCCACATATTCGTGAAAGGAAATCCTATTAGCTATAGCACTCGCTTCTATAAATGCTTCTGGTGTCTACCAGCAGGGGCTAACTGGAGCATGCTAAACAGCCAGACATAGACGCCTTGATTTCACTATCCTCAGCAGCAGAGGAGGAGACCAA